ATTTTAATTTAACTACTGCACGTGAATTGAATTTTTCTTAACCAAGTGCTACGCTGTCTACATTTTTTATTAATATTTATTTTATCAATAGACGATTAATACTGCCACGATTACTTGCTTTTTTGGATTTTTCTTTCATCTAATTGTCACCAGATAAAAACATTTATTGAAATTGTTTCAACGTTTTTAGTTAGAATTCTAAAATAATTCTAGATTATATTTTCTACGATTTTAATTTTACAAAATTTACCAAAACCGACAGATTTTTTTTTTTTTTTCACAAGATGCTGTCTGGTTTTTTCTGCAAGTGTAATTTATTAATTTATTTAGGAGTTATAAAGAGAAGACTAACTAACGCGGATCATAATTCACAACAAATACGACTTACTTGACTATGTTTCTCTTGGAGACACGGCACGGAGTCGCGGCGAGTGAGTACACGTGTGAGGAGTTATCTCGAAAAATATCCGGACTTTCGTCAGAAGGATAAGAAAATTCAAGCCACTGACACCGGAGTGCCATATATTGCCACGGTACATTAGTATGACGCATCGCCGGAGTCCTCAGCTCGGCGGAACGCGAATTTAAGCACGGGCGAAACTGCAGCCAAGGTACATACTCTTCGCCACAGCGGGAATCCGTTAATGTATCCGGAAAACATTATTTCCCTGTCTGCCGTCGATGGAAGGATGGATCGAACATGCGCCTGGTTTATGCATTTACGAATTCAGACGTTTACAACGCATGCACCTTGCACGCTCATCCAAACTTCAGTTTACGGTTTAGCTCGGGCGATATTTCTTACGATGTTCAATGTTCAATTAAAATAATTTCTTGTAAAATTAGCTGTCGCTTAATACCTTTAATTGATTAACAAGCGTGACACGAGGCGGGCACGATAAATTACGGGAATTTGGGAGCAAATCTCGTCAATTTGCACATTTAAGTGCACCGATATAAAACGTATTGATTTCAAAAATTAACTAGCCGTCCCTTCGATAATCGTTATTAATTCACTTATCGGAGGTAAGCGGATTTTGATGTGAATGATTCGATTGCACGAGCGATTACCTGCCATATTTAGATTTAAATGCAATTTCGCGACAAGGGCTTGTTATTACCTATAACTTCGCTTCGAATAAGCGAAGCAGGCGCGATTTCGCTATGCGCGCATAATATTGTAAACGTGATTCCGATTAGTTTATGCGAGAGAATCAGCCGTGATTGCAGGATATGCCACGTCTGTCACGTTCACCGGCAGTCTCTTTCATGAATAAATTCAGAATTATATTATCGCGAATATGATGAAATCACGTAATACATAATTCCGTAAACTTGCAGTGAAGAACAGCCCGTAATTATTCTTATTGGTCTAATCGCGAGACCACAATATCTTTCAATGTTAAAAGATCTTAAATTTTCTCGCAATCCATCGAATCATCGTAAGAATCATATATTGTTCGGATGTCTTCGGCAGTCGATGAGTGAAACGGCGCACGAAAATTTGTCGACGTGGTCGCGTTTCATTTGGAACACCGGATGCTTAGGACAGCGAGTGAATTGAGACGACTTAATTGCATTTCCATCTTCAAAGACGTGTCCTAGACGATTTGCTGAATCCGTGCGCGCGGACCTCCTTCAACGACACAACGAACCTTTGATTCCTCCTCATTAGCGAGTAACGCACCGGTAGCTCCGAACTTCCCGAGACAAGACGCTCTAAGTGCATCCGTCGCGGCGTCGCTCTGCCCGAATTTTTTTCCCCGACCGAAAGTCTACCGAGAACGCATTAAGCCTTCGCACCCGAAATTATTTCACGTGGGCGAAGCGCAATCTATTTTAATGATGCACACAGAGACAAGCCGGTCACAATGGCATATAATTACTGCATCTCGTAACTTTCTGTTTATGTTGGCTCAAAAGAATCGCATTTATCATATGTGATTCTACGACTCTGTCTACAAAAGGTTTTTAAGTTAGAAGCTCCTTTTCTCAACGCCGAGCGCATCGAGCGAAGCGCTGCCATTCTTGAAACGCTTTATATAATACTGCATCTCTTTCAGCTGTTGTTGCATAGATGGCAATATATCGCGACGAGACAAGCTGAGAAGCGCTCGAGATTTATTTCCTCAATAACAGCCGTACATGTCGTAGCGCGAGCGTCACTTTGGCATTTCCTTCCGATTCAAGATAGAAATGCGTTGTTTCCTATGCATATCTACGTATAGACATTTAACGATTTTTGTTGTCGAGTAGTATCGCTTTTTCACAAGCTACTTTTATCGCTTTTATAATTAATTTTACAATTTAATCCGTCAATTTATACGCAGCCGTTAGGAAACGCCTTGACACTTTAGATGTCATATCTTATTTTAACTGCTTGACGCAAAATTCGATGCTTTGGAATGTGCAGGAGGTGCATGCAAGAAGCGAGAAATGATTATTTTCATACCTTGGAGTCGTGTTGGTCCGTTTAATTGTCACGCATCCTTTATTGCTTTGACGGATGTTATAAGTGATGAAACGTCTGTCCGTCAGCTATCTATCTATGTAGGCATCAAGAATTACATTGCGGTGGACAGAGTCGTCAGTCCTGTAAAATAATTTACGCTACCGCCGAAAACTATCCGGTGTCGTGATTGCGCGGTACACCGAACGCATCTGGCAAACTATCTAGACGGTATATCATCCGCGGAAGTATGACAGCGAGTATCATACGTCCCGCGGTGATTTATAAATAAATACCCGGTGGTCCGACGTACGTGTCTTGCCAAACAATAATCGTTTCAATCGTGATTAATGTTTGCTGTGGATATTTCTGCGCTGATTTGTGGAAAACCTCCTGTCTCGGTGTTAATGATGAAAAAATACGGGGCTTCTCGCCGGCAGCCAAAGCACGCGCGCAATACTCGCATAAAATACATATATTTTAATCAAGTCCAACTTTCTTCGGAATAATAGTGTTAATTAGACGCATTAATGTCGAAATTTTACCGTGTTATCAACACATTTTTCATTCGTGGCGTAAAAGAGCTTTCAACTTGTGACTGAGTAAAAAAGCACGGAAACGATAAGCCCGAAGATTTACTGAGGAAAAAAACAAATTTATTTGTTTGAATTGGATACGTTTCTACTTGTACGCCGCGTCTGTATTTTAGCTCTTTTTTCGTGCGGACGGCATAATTACATGTAAGTCTTAGATCTTTGTAATTTTCGCATAATTATCACTATTATCTTTCTTACTTGGCAATTTTCACCATTTCCATATCATCAGATACTAAGTGGGCTACACAGAATCCTCTTAGCATTTTCTCATTACCTTAGCATCTTAGGCTTATGAATATTTATGGCCGTCTCGTCCCTACATTCTTTTTAATTTAATGGAGATTGCGGTTGTCAGAGTCAGAGTTTTCACAATATTTATGAAGAATTAGCTAATACATTGCACGGTATTTTATGCCTGCAATTATATAGGATTTTAACGAGTCACTTTATTTGCAAACATTATTTATGCGATTGTTGATCGCAATCTAGAATCGTTCTTTCCTTTGTGTTTGATTAGGATTCTTATCTCTTCCCACAAGGTCTTTATTTCCGACATTACAATTATCTTGGTAATTAAGCTCTTAATTAAAATTCTATTAAAATGAGACTTACTTGAAATTAGATGAAGATAAAGGTTTTTATTGATTCTCGCCGTTGTTTTTACGAAAAATTATTCCATTTTTATTTTATTATTCAAAAGCTGTTGTTACTTCAACAAACATCTACTACGAACTTAAAAAATTCACAATTTTTTAAATTATAAAAATTACTTATTCTTCATAAGATAAACGGAAAATGAGAGGAGAGAAGCTTGAACCTATCTGTCTTCGTTTCGTATTCATCGATGCATGTCGGAGCATACTCGTCGCGTTCCAACTAATATTATTAGTTTTGCGCTGCCCGCTCTTTCGGTTACGTTTAGCAAGTATATCTTTATCCATACTTTCGTGCCAACAACATGTCCGGGATGTGGGTGGTGAATATAAGACGGCTAATTAGTCATCGACGTATTCGATAATCTGCTGCGACAACTTATGTCTATATTTGCTACTCTAATCATTAGATTTAACGGAGTTAAAATATTTCGACATTTCTAAATATACCTCGGTATTGCACGCAGAGCATGTTCTACATTTTTCTCTATCTGTACGAGTATATAAGTAATTATGTTGATGTTTTAATTATTTTTGCTCAACAATGTTTTCCTTCAACACGTATATAATTTTTTATATGAATAAAATACATAAATATTTTGCTTTGCAATATGCGATTGCTAAATAAACGAGAGTTGTCTCTCTGGATATGTTATCTTAATTTTTAAGCACACTTTATTTTCGACATTTTGTAAATTACAAAAAAATGATACATAAATCTTCGTGAAAGCATAACATTAATACTCACGTGGATATATTGTATTTTCCACGAAGGTGACTGAAAAATACAAGTCGAATTTAAGACGGGAAGGCGGAGGCGCACGCCAGTGCCAAGAATAACGGCTTCAAAGCCCTTACGTCGCAGTACATAACTTATGCAAATGCTTTCTTCGTGGCGAAGGACAACGAAAAGTGGAAAAAAAAGCGAACCCCGCTCCCGTTCGAGAAGCGCTCGCAATTCATCCGTATCTGGATATACACCGCGACGAAAGCGACGGTCAAAGAGCACTTAAAGTTCGCTTAAACGTAGTTTGTACTTCGTATACAACATGCAGCGTTACATTTGCGTTTGCAAGACTCGCCGTTTCCAGCCGTAGCGATCTTTTTGCGCTAAACGCAGCGTGAAAATGAAATTCAACTCCCGAGCTGGAACTTCCATTCGCGCAATTAGTTGGGGATTTTGGTGCGAATAGGATTAGGTAGAAGAGATAGCGACAAAGCTGGCCGCATAACAAACGTGTGAGATGCGTCGGATTTTCTTGGCGTTATTCTAACCTTCCTTGTCGTATTATTATGTTTCAGGTTTCGAGCAAACCGAGGCAGTGATTTCGCAAAACAATGGAAGCAGCTTGGATTGCCTGAGTATGATCGTACAGAGCATTAACGGGCCATTGCAACCGTCGTCCGAGAGTCATTATTCGTCGCGTCATTGAGACTGTAGAGTATCGAAACTTCATTCTTTCGAATCAGTCTTTTTTTAGCTTTTACAATGGCGATGTGTGTCACTCGATTTTCAACAGAATACACAGATACAGTCAACGCGACTTTTTTTAGAGCAATCCTACCGTGTTACACGGGGTGTTCTAGAAATCATTGAACATGTATGTGTTTTCCGCGATTCGTGAATAACGAAGACCAATGTTGATGAGTTAATATTTAATTTTTATCATTTTTTTTTTTTTAGAAAAATATTTCAATTCAAAATATTTAATATTAAAGATTACAGAATTTTAATAAAATGCTTGTTTATATGATTTTATTGTTTCTAGATTTGATAAATTCTTAACTGAGAAATGCACGATTTCTGGAACACCGCATGAATTGAAATCGGCCGTCGTATAAATTTTAATGCCGAACGCATTTGTGCGATTTTTTGTCGAGAATTACGGGCATTGTGAGCGATTAACAAGTCCAGAATATTTGACGAAGGCATGTAGAGAGAGTATAGATTTCCGATCGTTGTTGATAAATCTATACCAGGTATTGGAAGTGCCGTGAAATAGTCAACTATTTTATCTATGCCAAAGAAAAATATTTTAAGAGATAATTTTAGCCTGCGCGAGCATAACTTAAGATATTATAGTAGGAATACAGAGTAGAAGTGAGGGGAAGGATAAAAATTCATGACGGATTAAAAATTTGCTATGAAGCCATTATTTTTTGCTATTTTGCAATTATTTTAATTTTTAAATCTTTGAAGATACGAAACGGATAATATTTACGCTTTTAATGCGGAATTTCCAAAAGATAAGTTTCTTTCGACTTGTCTGGTTTTTACGATGTTCCTTTAGCAAATGTAAGCTGCAGAACGATGTAAATATTAAAAACATTTCTCATGCTTTTATACTTTTCTGATTTTCCACGCTTTTTCCCTGTGCAAATGAAAATTACTGAATGAAATTTACTTTGAAGAACAGTAAATGTTTTCTTTTTATTTTCATCTTTATAATTGTAACATTTCCTCGATATAGAGTTTTTATTTCTTAATTACATATTCATGATCGTTTTCTCGCATTTACATCGTTTTGCATTCTCAACTTTAAAAATACGAATACAATTTTTCACAATGGCAAAAAGTCCAGCTGCCCTATAAAAGTTTCATGCGAGACGGTTGTGCCTCGACACGCTCAACAATTTCTTCGAAACAAATCGCCAAACTTTTCATGTGCCTGCGAGCTACTAGCATATCGATCACACGTAGTACGTAAGCGAGCCTCGTCGATACCGCGAGATGATGTAAATATGTGGAGCGATGAAACAATAAAGAGGAGCGACAGAAAAGCACACGTTGCGATATTTCCTTTTGTTTTCGAGCACGTTTGCGCTTGCAAACCGGATTTTCGAAGCGCTCCCTCGCATTCCCTTTAGCAAGCTCTCGTCAGATAGCGGCTGAGAGTCATTTATCAGACAGTGGATAATTAATCAGCTAGCTAAACCGCCACCGCGCTGTTGAGGAACGCATACTTTAACGCTACGTCTCAGCAGCTACGTGCTCGTCATATGTGATTAATGTCGCCGTTTGTAAACGTTTAACGCGTGTCTGAACATCTGAAGGCTGATCGTTTCCACTGAAATTTTAGTGATCTCGCGTGACCGATTTTAAGGAAGAAACGATCACAGAAATTTCACTGGATAAATCAATCATGGAAATCGCTTAAAATTGAGAAGCGCCGAAAAGATTGTCGGGACTACATTTTCACGATGCCGACGTCACTTTGGATTCCGCCATCCGAGGGAAACGAAATAAGATGTCAGCTGTCGCGCCATCGCTTCCACTTCAAGTGTCACTTCCTCCGCGTTCTTACTTAAACGGAAATCTCGAGTGCCTTGAGTGTCATAAAAACTCATTCTCCTTCTCGCGCCGACGGTGGATATTTACGTTGGAGATTGTAAACTCTCTGTCTCCAATCTCCTGGAAATTATGACGAATTGTCAATAGTTGATCGGTAGCAACGATTTTATAGGCGCAAGACACAACATTATTGAGCAACGAAATGTCGCAACGCGACAATTCTCAATTTTTTTCACCGCGAATTATTCTCGACGGCGACGCCAATGAAGATGAAAGATAAAATAACGAGCGAGTTGTACGAGCGAAGAAAACAAATACGCCTGCTTTTATTTTCCGCCGAGAGTGTTTGCGTCACCTTCATTCGCGCGATCCATTATCGCTTTACACGCTATCTGACCGGGTCACGGACAACGATCGTGTCGTTGAAGACAGCTGAGATTGCCGCCGATTTATGAGAGACACTCGACAGACCAGTCGCTAGCCGTGAAAGCGACACGAGAAATCGGAGCGGAGGGCTCGGACCGGACATACTCGGGGGCCGGTAAATCCGAAAGCACGAAGCACCGGCACAAAGTATCGGCACGTTTTCAAAACACGGGACGCGTTCCCCGAGGCACGTCGAATGCATCTGCGGCCATTCGTCACGCCGCCGCTATTAGCGGCAAATTTAGAATCGGGGGAATCTTATGGGGATTCCACGCTCCGCTCAAGTTTTTCCCATGTCCCCTAAGTACCCTCGTATATCGGCGCTGTTTTGTCGCAACGGATCGTCACCCGACGCCCGACATCGTTCAACGTTTCTAAAAGATCCTATAATGTCGTGTCCTCCTTCTTAAAGACTCTCGCTGTGGAGCGAAGCTCGTGAAAGCCGCCCGAGCTTCATTATTCCCGAGCTTTCGCGACCTCGTCGTCGAAGGCGGCCTCACTCGAGCGAGCGCCAAAGGAGCGGAGAAACGATTACAATGCAGATGAGAGGCTGTTTTTTCGAACGCTACAACTTCTATACCTTCCACGGTGATTAGTAGTTGCTCTGCGACTAGCTGATTCACATATCGATCAGTCCTCGCGGCGGGGATTGCACCGCTTTCGCGCCCCCCGCAGCCGCAATTCGGAAGCAATCTAGTTCTCTGTGCTTGTGTTGTTTGTCCCACACGCCCAGAGCGTGAATGATCCGATTTCCTGCTGTAAACGACATGCGAGGAGACACGTTGCGTCGCTCGGTTCACGATATTGAAGGTATGCTGGAACTTTTAGCTGCACTCTGAAAAATAAAAGAGAAAAGGATAAAAATGCAGACGTAAAAAGATGTTAAATGCTATTTAGATGCAGATTTATCAATACACTTATCGAGACGAACATATTGAAATGATAATATATACCAATGGTAATTGTTTATTTGATTCCGTTCAGGATTGCAAAGATCTTTACTCCTGTTTTCTATTTCACACAGTTTCCTCACAGACTAAAAACTACTAAAAGGAGACTTACACAAACTATATTCCAATATTCATAGATCATTAAAATGATAAAAAATCTTATTTCGTGAAATCTAAATATTACGGAAATGCAAATTTGACTTAATTTTCTATAGATGCATTTATAATTGACGAACAGTTCATCATTCGAATAAATTGATTCAAGTTATTATTTATATGCAGCGCTTGATTATTCGTCTAAATTGAAACTTTAGTAAACACGGAATTTTTCTTTCCCAATCGATCGTTTGTTACGCAATGTCCAGACTCGACCGGGCGGTCGTGACTGTTTGTTCGGACGGTTGTTTCTTTAGCGTAGCATATATTTCCCGTAGCAGATCCGCGTCGAATTTCAAAGCGCTTCCTCCCTGTCTTCCCTCCAGCCGAGTAATCGCGCACGGAAGCTTTCACCGTGCGTTTAATACGTCGGAAAGCGTTTTCCAGATGCTCACTCTCGTAAAGCATTGAAACGGGACCGACGCGTTTGTTCGCACGACGTGTCTCTCTCGCTTGCGATAAACGTCCGTTCTCGTAAATGCACAATAGCGAACGTGTAATTACTTATTTAATCCTTTGAATGGAACCGCGTTTACGCCAACGAAATATCTCGGGCTTGAGGGAATTCTGCCATGCATTCGCGATCGCAATCCTTTCTTACAACACTCATATCTGCTGCATTTCTTGGAGGTATTCTGCAAAAATTAGATGTAACTCTGCACAATTCGTACATATACATATATATTTTTCAAAACGTTAAATTGCAAATCTTTGAAAAAAATTCTGTGAATAGGAATTGTAGAATAATAGCTGCACAATCAGCTGTTTCTGATTACGTTGCTAATTTGTGTCAGTATCTTTGAAATAAATACAAATAAAATTTTAGCATAAACAAATTTGTCGAAACAAAGTATCGAAAATGAAGTCGATATGATCCTAATAATTATACAGCAACGATACAAATGATATTCATGTCTCAATTATCTCACTATCATCACATAAATCGTTAGCAATTTTATTCAACGGAAAAGTAAAAAAGATGTTCCAATTATTATCTAATGAACCATGAAGAGAAGCATTCTATTGCCATAAATTGGCAATCGTGATAGTTGAATATTAGCATGTCGTCATTTTCATCTACTGCGACTTGTACGACTTGTACGACGAAACAGAGTTTCTTGCATAGCGTATGCAATTCTAATGCAGTCAGGAATATATAAATAGTTAATCCAACGTATAGTATATTGCGATACAACATACGACACACATATGAGACTGTCACACTTGAATTTCGGCGCAACATCTGTTGACCCCCTACAGCGCGTGACCCTTTAGAGCGCTCGGGAACTTCAGTATCTCGAGGGTCCCTCCCTGTTTGCCGTCTTCGGTAACAAGTGCACACTTCACCACTACCTACCGTAAAGATGCACCGATGCACGCCACGTATCGAAAGCCTTTCCACGAGGTACAAAAAGAATAGAGAAGTGTCAGTTGGTGAGAGAGATTGCGGAGCAGCGCAAAGTGCAAATACTTACATAAGGAGTTAAAAGTTTTTCTTTAGTATTGAAAGCAGATGATGCACATTCGCTATTCTCTTTCGCTTATCTGTTTCCGCGCAAATTACTTTATACATTTTTTTATATAAAATTATTGGATCACGTGGGCGCTGTTCTTTGATTTTACGATGAACTTGTTGAATGCTAATAATTTTCAGAAGAACAAAATAATTTTTTTAAAAAGTAATACATGTTCACGAATCTATTCGGCGTTTAATGGGAGAATAATTGAGTGATAATTAAAAATATGGAACTTGTACCGATTTCGCGCACAATCGTCCGCGATGCCGTCATCTGCGATGTCAGTTTTTGCGATTTCCGAAACGATATTTTTAGAGCCCAGCCGTAATTAGGGGGAGAGCAATAAAACATATACGGAGTTACCCAACATTAGCCAAAAATATCTCTGTCGCGGGTGTAAGAATAGTTTGGGACGACATAAATATTTTCGGAGTTACTGACCCGTCAAAACTCTCCAGAACTACGTCGAATGGGCTGAAGTCTTTGTAAGAATGTATCGACATCTCGCATAGTCCTCCGAAATATAAACTCACCAGTTCTGATTTTACACAACGTATACACATTAGTTCGACATCTCTCAATTCTATGCACAATTTTCTTCTTATGAACAATTTTATTTAAATACAAAGACTAAGCGTTGTTTTTCAATATGAATTCATACATGAAAAATATTTTACTCTACTCTATTGTATGGAGACAATAATGTATTTCTATATACTGATAGCATATGATTTGATTGGTTTTTACATTCTATTAAATTAGAAATTGATGTTCTTCAATTGCTTCGCGCGCGCGTATTCGGTCTTCAGAAAAATTAATCTTTTTATTTTTATGCGATAGAAGCGTATCACTTTTATTAAGTTTAGAATTTTTTTTATTTGAAATAAAATAAATATTTTAGCAAGAAAACATACTTAAAAAGCTTAAAAAACACATTTAAAAATTTTTGAAATAGAAATATATACATGATAATTATCATAGAAATTTTATGTAGTCCTGTAGTTATTGCTAAATTGAAATGACACTTATATGCATCATAAACACGTTCAGAAATTAAAAGCAGAAGCGTTTAAACATAATTGATTCCATTATTTCACACTTTTCTTTCTAGTATAGCCATCTTGTGACTAAAGCTTAAAACTTGAAGCAGCTTTATCATGAGCTTTACAGAGTTACGTAGGATATTCTAGCTACATCGAATCACATTTATATATACAAATTGTTTAAGTTTTGAATATATTTTTCTAATTTCCTAATTTTCTTAATTTTCTAAGCTTTATAAAAATTTTAGATTATAAATGTTTGAGAGTGCAAGACTTTTTGAGTTAAATTTGATAGATAATAGAATCTTGTATTATTTGTTTAATTTTTACTGAATTTTAATTGTTTTTTAATAACAACAGATATTTGATGCTGTTAAAGACGATAACAATATAAATAGACAAAGATATAAAGATATAAATCTGTCACAATTTCTAAAAAATTATTTAAAATAATAATATATATTTCTTGATGTTTTCGGTAAAAGAAAATTTTAATTAAATTGAAAGGTTTCTCTTATTTATGTTTTTATGTGTTTTCTAGTGAAAATTATATGATTTTTTTGCAATTATTTTGCAAATTATTTTTTTAAATTTTAAATATGTTTCTCATAAATTTTAATAAACTAATTTATCATTAATGTATTAAAATTATAACTTTAAACTTGTGTGCATTGATATTTAAACTTAAAAGAAGCGTGTAGAATATGTGTAAATTAATATGTCAGACTTTACAATTGGAAAACATGTTAATCTACAAATATGACACTATATATATATATATATATATATATACACTATGATATCTTATTAATCTACTTATTACAAATCAAAGATAAATTTTATTGACAGTATAAACATAGAAGATATAAAATTAGTAAATTTAATTATATTAAAATTTGATTAAGGATATCTAAAGCACAATATTGATAATTGTTGAATATATCCGAAATTATCAAGGCGATCAAGCAATCGTCGTAGTAAGGAACGTTGCGTTCGAGACGCTACTTTCGCTCGAACGTTGTATACATTTCTTTTGTGCTGTGTAGTACTTTTTCTACATAGACAATGCTCCGTAACGAGCTAAGTTTACGACGATGGAATTTTCGAGAACATTGCCAGGACGCACGAATGGGGGTAGGTCATAACGTCGTACAATGAATCAATGCCCATTCTTCGGTACAACGCTCGTGAGTACGGATGTCGCTGCCTTAAGTGAAAATTTTACTAAGACTCACAGCAGCTGGACTGCAAGATTTTTACACATATTAAATTAAACGAAAGATATCGTCTTGTGATAATTTTTAATAATAAATACACTCACTCGCTTACATAAAATATAAAAATCTTTCAAAATTAATATTAATGATACAAAAATGGATGAAACAGTGGCATTAATAAAATCGTGTATAATCTCGAAGAAAGGCGGCGTATCATTTGAAGATTTAAATGGTGAGTATAATATTTTTCCTTTGATTACAGTGAATTATTATTTATGTATTTATTTTAATGAAACTATGTGCAAATTTCATTGTCGTTTTCGGATAATAGCAAAAATCAAAAGCTTTTCAAATATTTATAATTATATATAAACGTCTTGCGTTTAAGGATCATTCTTATTCATTTTAATAAAATTTATTAAGTTATTAGTTTAAAAATTTTTATGAAATATCATTCAGATTGAAAACTTTAAGATTATAAATTTAAGTGTAAGAGAATGTTGTTGTAGATGAATTTGAACAACTCGTCGGCGAACCTATTCCGTACCGTAGATTGGGATTCGTGAGTCTTTCTAAACTTTTAGAAACTATAGATGGTTTGAAGATAATTCGGAACGAATTTGGCGAACAGACATTAAGAATAAACGACTCTAAGATTTCTCATATTGATAGACTCATACGCAAGCAGAAGGTCGACTATTCAAAGACAAAAGTACGTTTAATAGCACAGACTCTACATAATAATTATGTAAATCAGGATAATCAAATAATCGTGATGTATTATTTCAGAACAAATATTATAAACAATTTACACGACAAAAGAGCAAATTTGATTACAGCAATGAGCGTAGGGAAAGAAATAGAACAATATTCAATACAAATCGCACTAATAAACGGATTCAAAATTTTGGTCAGCGCCGTGATCCATATTTATTTGGCACTGGTAATATATGTTTATATATTTGTTGAAAATTGTTGTTAAGAAATACTACTAGAGCTTGATATGCTAATATATTATAATAGAAATACTAACATTTTGATTTTGCTTAAACAATAGAATTTTTGTTTTTCAGTGTTCTTTCTGTGGTCTTATATTGCTGCCTCGCATTTAATATTTTGTTTAATTCTATATTTTTTATAATTTTAAATTCTATTTTACTTTTACAAATATCAACTATAATTTCGTTGTATTGTAATTTACTGGAAATAACTTTTGTGGTATATAACATATTATATGATATATATATAAATAATTGTAATGAGTAAAAAAATTTAAGATTCAAGCTAATTTATTTATTTTATTATAGCTGGTACTTGGAAAGATAGAAATCTTTCCGAAGAAGAAGAAAATCATCATCCAGTGGTAATAGAAACAAATGAAATAAATAAAGCTGTAAGTAAAACACAATTTTAAGACGCACATTAAACGAAATCTTTCCACCGCTTTTTCAGAAAGTAACAAAGTAATTTAATTTTCCAGGATAACATATACGAACCAATTGCAAACGGCCAACAATTACTTGGCGACGATTTTTTCCTACAACTTGCAATACGAAATCTTCATCTTCCTATTTGGAGATATAAAGGTACGGTGGAAATTATCTTTTTAAAGTTCTCAACAAGTTTTATTTTTATAAGAGAAAGTCAACGTTATTTTTATAATAATTTTTATTTTAGAAGAAATATTTATCGCTTATTCGAATAAAATTTGAATATTTTATCAAAGTACATGTAACAAAGCTTTTATATTATGATATAATCTTGAGAAACTAAAATTGTAGTTTTTGGAGCTATGAAAATGGAATTATGGATTAATTTTGACATTATACTTTGCAGATAGCTTAGCATTGCATTGCGGACTGTGCGTATCCGGACAGACTATAAGCAATTGCACACGAGCTTTGAGGAATATTAACGCCATCTCTAATCGTGTCGTGATTATGCTTGGTTCGGTTGATGTTTACAATGTGCGTAATGTTAATGTTTACTCTGTTCTTCACATATACAGATTTCAATTCCAATGAATGAAACATTAAAGACACTTTGCTTATTTAAATTCTTAGATAAAGATAAAAAGTCTTTGAAGAAATTTAAATTTATTATTTATTGGCGGTGTAGCCAGATTTTTATTAAATATTCTCTTGTTTTCAGGGCGCCACTTACAACGATATGATACACGACATGACAGAACTCTTGCAAGTTCTCCGGTCAAAGTTTCATCTTTCAAATTCAGCCATCACTATCTGCACTCTACCACCTTTGGCTAACGTGAGCATTCACGCTCATAAGCATCAGAGTATGGCGCTATTTTGCTTCAATAATTGGATCAGATCTCTAGCCGACGACGCATCTAGGAGAGATTCCTCTTTCGAAAATTACCCGATAATCGATTTATTCGAAAACTACTGCAACGAAACGTACACTACGGAATACGATTGGTTCCAAACGTAAGTACATCAAATAATCTAATTAATAGTACTAATATATATATATATATATATATATATATATATATATATATATATATATATATATTATTATTT